GGGATTAATAATTTTTATTGAAAGCATTATTTTATTGAAAGCATAATTTTATTAGAAAGGCTAATAGTAGACGCACAGATCAAAAGATAATGGTGACACGGCGAAAAGCAATATTAAAACAAAGTTAAAAAGAAAGCTGACAAGTTAGATTAGGTGAGGTTTCTCGCGTGATTCTTGATACAGTCGCTTGCGAAAGTATTTAGTCAAATATTAAGAAAATAACATATTTTTAACATTTTAATGATATATTATAATATTATTTATAATTTATTATAATAAATAATATTATAATAAAATTATAGTATCTATAACGTACATTAGCACAGCCATTTATCGAAGCCATTTGGCTTGAGCAAAAATTAAAAATAGAGCAACTAATTGACAAAAAATAGCACTATAAAAATATGTATTTATTTTTTAATTTCCTGCTTTTTCTTTTATGGCTGTGCCATAAAACTTTAATATTACACACAGCCATAAAGAAGCAAGAAATTAAAAACCAATATTTTTGTAGTGCTACTTTTTTGCTTATTTAGTTGCTCTCATTTTCAATTCTTTTGTATTTTTACTTATGGATTTGATTGTGATTCTCTGGTAATATTATTTCGTAAAAATATTGAATTTTTTATATGTTTTTGCGCTATGATGGAACAAACAAATTAACAACAAATTTTGTTTTTTCAAACTCCGATATATTTTTTTTATCGGGAGGTCCAGCTTAATAGCAAACTAGCCCTTCTAACTTTGAACACAATTTCCTGTCGAACGGCTCGAGCAACAAAGTTCGGACTAGAGCGATAAATTAGCACATAAATAGCACTAAATTTTTTGATGAGTGCGAATTTGATTTGCGATAGTGGGGATCTCAGTTTAATAGAGGTAAAAGAAATATTTTCGTAAGTGACTGTACCGATGGCATCTACCTCCACATCGACTTGCCAGGAAGTCGTCGTTAGTTAAAAAGTCGCGCGAACGGGTTACAATGTAACCAGGGGAGATGTATTCGCTTCCTACCGTGATACAATTACACTCCTCGCTCTATCGCGAATCCATTCGCAAAGATCCGATACCAGATAGTCCGATACCGTGATTTATCGCGAAAGCTTCTTTCGCGAAAAATATAAATGTATCATATATACTTGCATCTAGTAAGATATGCTGTTTATGAAATTTCAATTTTGTAAATGTTTTTATATTATCTGTAAACATTTTGTTTCATTTTTTATGTTGCTTTGAATAGAAATTTGATGAATATTTTTGACAACGTATTCTTGACAATGTTAAGCGATTGTCGTGAAATCTTTTCGCAAGACAAACATAACGTAATCGATAAAAGATAAGTGACGATCATAAAAATATCTGGAGACGCTTTCTCTTAAGAATCACGAATAAAATTAAATGATTATGTAATTAATTGCATGAGTATATTGTTTAATATTATTATTATTGGCTGGAACTTTTCGTATTAAGACATTATGCGGAACTACCTATTGTGATTCTATGATTCTAACGTTGTCTCTGATTAATACAGATGTGTATCTATAATCGGTTGTTCAAGTCATTACGTAACACATTGTGAATTATATGACGCTACAAACAATACATATCACATGTATCATATACAGATTTTTTCTGGTATTATTATTATCATCACAAAAAAGAAACAACGATCATCATGTCATTAATGTGATCGATGTTATAAAAATTATATCTTTTATAATATTATAATATAATGTTTTACAATATTAATTTGTTAAATGTCTTTATGATTGAAAAAGTAAGAAAAAAATATAGATTGAATTATTAAAGTAACAATAAATGTTATAATTAATATATATAATTATAAAAAATGTCGCAACAACAGACATAAATACCGTTCTTTACATTACATATAAAAGAAAATATGTTTCTATATTAAAATTGACAAAATAAAATAAACTAGTCCAATATATTAAAGAATATTTATTATTTAACTTAATCAAGATATTTATCGATTATGGATTGGCACAATAAATTGATTAACACATTCTATAATACATTTTATAACTATTTTTTTTTAATTGTTAAATAAAATTTAACGATTGACAATATTAAAATAGAAACATGTATAAAACGTACAATAAAAGATGTAAAACTAAATTATTGTTCAATATTGTTTACATAGTTATGTGATAATAATGTGATGCATTTAATGTACATTTTATAAATTTCTTTTCAATTATAAGAAAATAATATTAAAAGAAAATAACATTCAAAAATTTTGCTTTTTACATGTAAATATTAATATAAAAATTATATAATCGTAAATACGATATAACAAACTTTCATGTAATTATTTCTTCCTTAAGTTTGGTTTTTTTTCAGTAACATATAATATTATGTTTTACAATTTACGATATATATTCTTTAGTTTTTAGTGCTAGTATCATACATATTGTAATACATTTAAGAATTCTAAATAATAAATATCTATTTTTGCCGGAAAATGACAATTAACGCGCTGCTTAAAATGTACATTTTTTACTGTATTTTCACACTCGAAAACAAATGCATTAATAATTTCCGATAGCAGATTCTATCTCATATATCAATTAACATAAGCGACTTAAATGATTATTGTTTATTTAAATACATTATATTTTTTCTTTTATCATTATATTATTTTATTTGCATAAATATTGATTTTTTTACATAAAAAATAGTATTTATTTTTGCTAATTATAAAATTTTATTATTTAATTTTAGATTTTATCTATTAGAGATTTCTATTCCAATCGTACTATATACATTATATTTGTATATTTGAATTGATATTTGCATATTTGCATGTATTTTTCTCGCAAATTTTCTTTGCAAAGTCACACACACAAATTATTGTATATTGCGTGTACTTTGTACAGCTGCTGATAAAACTTAACTTTTTATTCCTACTATTAGAGTTCCTACTGTTGTCGTTCTATAGACGATATCAACTGTACTTTATAGAATAATTTATAAATTTGCACTTCCTGATAGTTTGAAGAACAAATGAAATAGTTTTTCCTTGATTATTGCAAATTGTCATTATTTTTCTAATTCTTTGAAAATAAATGCTTTATTAAATCTGCGAAAACTAAATTTTGCTCCACTTGATGGCTAACTGTTCTTTTTATCTGTGATTTGCGATCTTTCTTTCTTAGATAAATCGTGAACATTTAATGAGACAGGTTTTGATGTGTTGTATCTTTCTGGCATGGCGTATCTTTTATCTCACCTTACTTGCCATGACCATCTGCAACGATGGCAGGAGAAACGTATCTTTACCTTCACGAGGTCATGACTCCCGTGTCCTTCATAGTAGCTTTAGCCATGTCAGGATTTATCATAATTTTTGTAGAGATGCAGAACTTATCCATTACCTATTTCAGGCTCGGATATCCCTTATCTCGAGACTTGGATACACAAGTGGCTAGTAATCGATCTTTTGTACATTTCTTATCGTTGCACATGTTTCCAGAATAAATGATGTATCGAAAATATATACATAAA